CGGCTGGGGCGGGGCGAGGAGGGGCCTGGCAGGCAGCCCCTTCCCAAGGGCTGGTTTATGGCAACCCTGGCCTGCCTGATGCAGCCCCATAAAGGGGGCGAACAATGGGCTCCCTTTGTGCCTCTGTGTGCTCCGTCATCACCTTCACCTTTTATTGCAAAGACAAGTGCAAGGACAGGTTTGATTTACCTTTTTATGCAAAGAACTGTTTAAACACAGAGAGGGGCATGTTTCACCCCTGGTGACTGCTTGGCAGGTCGAGCTCCCGGCCCGGCCCGGAGTCCTGCCCAGCCTGCTGGGCGCTCCAGAGCTGATCCCGGCCCTTGTGCGGCTCCAGTACCGCCACATCCTGGTCCTTGCCCTGCTTCTCCTCCCGGAGGACTGTGCTGAGCTCCGGGCCCCTTCCCCGTGCAAGGACTCTTCATAGCCTCAAGAAGGCAGCAGTCTGAACGTGGGTGTCTTGTGGAGAGGGAAAGCCCTGCTTGGTCTTGCTGGGTTTGGTGCAAGTTGCCCCGGGCTGGAAGGGGATGCAGAGAGCAGTCCTCTGCGAGCCACAGTCCCAGCACGGATCCCGCTTAAAAGTTCTCCTTGTTGAAGTAGAACTGGACCTTCCTGGGGTCCAGGCTGGAGTGCTGGTGACAAGATCTCCGCAGGCTCTTTGCCAAGGCCTCCGGCCCGCACAGGAACACGCCAACCACGGACCTGCCAACGGCGCGGGGCTGTGAGCGGCAGGAGGGAGGCTTCCCGCGGGGCTCCTTGCCTCGCTGTGGCCCTCGTCCTGCCTGCAAGGTGCCCGGGGATGTCCCCTCCCGAAGCCCGTGCCCTGCACGGTCTGGCGGGTGCCGAGCCCTGCGCAGGCAGGGCCCGGCCCCGCGCTCACCTGGGGTGGGCCGTGGCTACTGCTGCGAACTCCGTGTTCCACATGGGCCGCCCAAAGATGGTTTTGTGCCTCAGGCCGGTGACCGTGTCTGTGACGGTGTCAAAGTTGAGCGCTGCGTTGTTGGCCTGGGAACAAGGGGGTGGGTTGGACCCTGCTCCCTGCCGCCCAGCCCACCTGAACCTGAGTCCCTCAGGGGTAGGTACGTTCCAGCGGTGCTGCCCACCACACGTCTGAGGGAGGCAAAGCCCCTTCCCAGACTTCCCGCCACTGCGAGCTGTTCATGGGCTCTTCCATGTCCCCTCCCCAGCTGCCTTGGCAGTGTCCCACCTGGCTGTCGTGCCCACCCGCAGGTCACTCACAATGCTGGTGTCCCAGCCCGTGAGGAAGAGCCGGTAGGTGAGGAAGTCGGCCTTGCCCGACTCAGCCATCTTCTGCTCCAGGGAGGCCAGCAGGTCGTTGAACCAGGCAAAGGCCCCCGTGTCCCGGCAGAGCCAGTAGAAGTAGATCTGAGGTGTGAACATTGGGAAAAGGGGCGGAGTTACTGCAGGCAGAGCAGAGCAGAGCAGGGTGGTGGACAGAGGACGCAGTGCCTGCGGTCAGGAAGCCGAGAGCCTCTGAGCATGGAGACACCTATGGCCTGGGGGTGTCAGCTGCTGGTCCCAGGGAGTCCTTGTTACCTTCTTGGTCTTGAGGGCCTGGTCAGCCTGCTGGAACTTGTACCAGATGGACTTGAGAATGGAGGCAAAGGGGGTGACCCCGATGCCTGCTCCCACCAGCATGGCCACCTCGTACTGGAACACATCTTCACTGGCGGTGCCGAAAGGGCCGTCCACCTCGATCCTGGCCAAGACAGGCTCTGGGTAAGGGGTTCGGCTTCCCTGGGTGCCCAGGAGGGTCCCTGCAGGGCTCCCAGCCTACCTGGGCATCTCTGCCTTCTGCTGCTGGAAGGCGTCGATGACGCTCTCCGTCCAGTCGCCGGCCGCGCGGATGTGGATGGAGAAGAAGTCCTCCTCAGGCGCTGAGGTGAGGGTGAAGGGGTGCCACTCCAGCAGCGAGACGGCGGGACAGTTGACAAAGATGTACTGCCCCACCTCCATGCGGAAGCCCTTCTTCTGCAGCTGCAGCTCCAGCACACGGGACGGATGCATGACCACCTGGGCGGGCGAGAGCTCAGCGCCTGGCCTGGCCCGGGCCTCCGGGCCAAGAGGTTCTGCAGCAGCCCCCGGCCCGGAGCCTCGGGGACGTCTCCTCCACTGCTGGTGGCTGCGGAGGACGCAGCGTCGCCTACCTTGGTGACCACCACCTTCTGCCGTGCACGCCAGACACGAAGGATCCGCTCAAAGATGTACAGGAGGACTGGGGCCAGAACCCACTTCCAGGACTGTGGGGACAAGCAAGAGCGAAGGGCTGGAGATGCTGGGAGGTGCCAAGCCTGGAGCATTCCAGGCAAAGTGCTCCCACTAAGGGGAACGCGCCAGGGAGAAGTGTCTCCTCCCACTGTATCCAGCAGCCACGGGGCCCGCGTGCGTCTCTCGGCACAGCCCGCACCGGCCCTACCTTCCCGAACTCCGTCTCTTTGCAGCAGCGGTGTTCGCAGTCCTTGCCCGTCAGGTACTGGGCGCAGTGCTGTGGATGTGCCTCCCGCATGCTCTCCGGGGTCTGCCCGCGCACCAGCCCGCTGTGAGGAGAGCAGCGCGTGGCGCTGAGCTCACGGGGCCGTGGAGAGCCCGTGCACTGCCCGCCCTGGGAGAGGAGCTGGAGGCGCCTTACGCGATGCCATGGATGACGAGGCCAGCAAAGTAGATGATGAAGAGGTGGTGCGTGTACCAGAAGACCTCAAAGTAGTTCCTGCGGATGAACTCGGTGGACGACGTCACCATGAGGATGAGCGCCAGCGTGATGATGACCCCCGTCAGCCCCGGGATGGTGGTGAAGGCCACGTACTCGGGGGTCTGCAAGGAGGCGGAGGCGGGGGGGAGCAAGGCACGGGGGCTGCGGGGCGCGGGACTGCGGGCCAGTGCTCACCGTGTGGTTGGAGTGGATGGGGTTGAGCCACTTGCTGCCCTGCAGGTGCAGCTTGGAGACGACAGCAGCCAGGCTGCCGTCCGTGGCCTGCTGGCTGCGGTTGTAGCGCTCCAGGTTGAAGAGGTGGGCGATGGTGTGCACGGCTGCGGGATAGAGACGTCACCATGCGGGCCTGGCAGGCAACCGCGCGGCCCCGGCCTGGCGCAGAGCAAGGGGCACCCAGGAGGGGTCCCTGTGTACCTGTGAAGAGCGCCAGCGCGTAAGCCACCAGCTTGTGGAAGGCGAGGTTGTGGTCGAGCTGCTTCCTCAGCGTGCGCCTGCAGCACTGCACCCAGAGCGCTGAAGGTTACTGCCCGCGCCTGGCACTGCCCGCGCTGCACAAGGTGCCCATGCTCTGCACTGCCTGAGCTGCACGAGCTGCCCGCGCTTCACATTGCCCATGCTCTGCAGTGCACATGCTCTGCAGTGCCCGCGCTTCACGCTGCCCATGCTCTGCGCTGCCTGCACTCTGCGCTGCCCGCGCTGCACAAGCTGCCCGTGATCTGCACTGCCCGCGCTGCCTGCGCTGTGCCACCCACCCCGGGCACGCCGCTGTGCAGGGGGCACTCACGGAGCAGGTGCCACGCAGGAAGGAGAGCAGGTTGCGGCACACGGGCAGCAGGATCAGCATGCTGTTGAAGTTCAGGCACTTGGCCGAGGCCCGGGCCCACGCCAAGGCGGACTGCGGAGAGCGGAGAGGCACGGGGTGAGCGCACGGGGGGACGTCTGCCCATGTCCTGCGGCTGCCCCTGCACTGCCAGCGTGGGGCTGGGATCGGGGCCTGGGCTGGAGACAAGGGGCACTGGGATGGGGTTGGACTATGGGCTGGCATTCAAGGATGCTGGACTGGTGTGGGAGCAGAACAGAGCGGGACTGTGTTGGGACTGGGGTCAGACTGAGACAGTGACACTGGGCTGCACTGGGAGGGAAACTGGGGTGCAATGTTGCTGGGATGGGATGGGATTGGGGTGGGACAGCACTAGGGTGGCATGGGGACTCGGTGGTGTGATGCTGTCCTTGCTCAGACCGGGCTGGGTGGGCGTGATGGTGGGCCTTACCCCGAGGATCTCCCTGGTGTAGAAGTACTGCTCATTGCGGTCGAAGAACAGAAAATAGTACGTGAAGAGGAAGATGTTGACGCCCAGCCAGGCAGCCTGTGGGGGGAAAGCGGAGGCTTTTGCGAGTGCCATCCCATGAGGGACCCCAGCCCTGAGCCCCTGCTCCCTGCACCAGGGTGGCCCAGCCTCATCCTTCACCACACGGGGCCCTGGAGTGTGTCGGGACAGCACGGCTCCTCCTGCTTCCTTACGGTAAGGGCCACGCTCATCCAGATGGGACCCGGGGCCAAAGGTGGGAACAGGCGTGGGAGTTTTGCAAGATAACTGCCTTGTCGTCAACCGAGCATCATCCGCACGGAAAGAATGAGGAAAGGAAGATAGCGAAAATATGTGCTGCGACAGTGAGGCTATCGCGCAAGGGAGCGTCCTCAGGCAAAGACAGCGAGAGCTCAGCGGAGCTGGCAATGGGGGAATGTCCAGGAGCAGGAAATTTTGCAGGGTCTTGGCTTTCCCAGCCTTGCTGCTTTGCTTCCCGCAGCGAATCTCTGCTTCCTTTTGTGCACCGCTGAGCCTGGAGCGGGCTTGGAAACAGCCCCCCGCTTCCATCGGCACAGTGCCCCGTTTTAAAAAAGAAATGTTCTGAGATCGAGTTTAAAAAAAACATAATAAATCAACGCCATTTAAAAGATAAAAATAACCCTTGCTGAGCCCGCAGCCCCCCTCCTCTAGCAGGGCTGTGCATGGAGGCGAGGGCTCCTGCGATGCTGCTGCGAGGTGAGCGCAGCCCCCCACAGGGATGCAGGATGCAGTGGCCTCCCCGCCCCGAGCTGTGCTCATTTGGGGAGCACGGGGCTCTCAGGAGGAAGGGGCAGTGAGAAACTGGTAGTTGCTGCAGGTTTCCCCGATAGCATAGGGACCCATGTTTTATTTTAACCTCTGTTTCCCAAAAACGTGGGGCCAACCCTGCCCGCTTCCCTGGCTCCCTCTTTCCCGCCGAGCTCTAGAGTTGTGTGAAGCAGCAGAGATTTTTCTTCCTCCCTTCAGCAGGCGCCGGGCAGGGGACTTTGCAAAGCCCGGAGTCAGGACAGCCTGGATTCATGCCCGGAATCACCAGATGGGAACCAGGACCATCCTTAAGCCCAGACTCCCTCCATCCTTCCCTAACGCCCCTCGCTGCTGGGGCTGTGTCCCCGTGCCCATCCTGCCACCCCCAGCACGCGAGCGCCTGGCACTTACGATGACGGCGGGCGTGGGGCTTTCCCCGTGGAGGAAGCGCCGGGCGCGATAGCAGCTCCGGGAAGGCCGCGGGGCTGCGCCCGGCCCCGCCGCTCCCCGCTCCTGCAGCAAAACCCGTTTCCTCCTGCCTTGGGCTGGACCGGGAAGCGCCGCCGCCACACAGGGCACCAGGGGCAGGTGCGGGGTGGCCGTGGGACACACGTGGGGACAGTCCCGATGTGGACTGCACAGGGAGGTGGCTCCTCCCCAGCCCTGGGGCATCTCCAGCCCTGCAGACACAGAGATGCTTTGGGACCAGATGCTATGGGGAACGGTTGCCCCCGGCAGTCGGGTTTCTCCTCCTTTTATTTATTTTATTTCTTTTTCCTTTCTCTTTGCAGCAATTTGGCGCAAAATGGCCCTGTTGGAGGTGCAAAGTTCCTGGTGGCAGGAAGCAAGGGTGCCAAGTCAGTTACCCGCCCCACTGGGCAAACGCGAGCGTCAGCCGCCCTCGCCATCCTCCCCTTCCCGAGAAAAACGTCAGGTGGAGGGAACCATCGGGGGAGCCTGTGCAACCCCGCGTGGGGGCCAGCGTGCTCGGATGCTCCCTCCGCATCCCCTTGTCCGCAGGGTCCCGCCACACGCTTCCCAGACAGCGCAACGCGGGGCCAAGGCAGCCGAGCAACCCGGGTCCAGCGCAGCCACCGTCGTGTCTCCCCCAGCCCCGCAGCGCAGTCCCAGCAGGGCCGGCAGCCCCGTCACGAGCTCAGACGATGCTGTGCCTCACCCCGGGCTCGCACGGAGCCTCGAGGAGCAGCGGCTGGGCCGGCACGCGCCGCCGGCAGCACACGCAGCGCAGGAAGTCGGCGACGTTGTGGTGGAAGAGCTGGCGGCAGGGGTGCAGGTACTGGAAGAAGAGCAGCATGAAGTAGATGCCCAGGCAGTAGCCGAGCAGCAGTTGCACCACGAGCAGTGGCGTGCAAATGTTCTCGTAGACATCTGTCTTGAAGAAGTACCAGAGCACGACGAGTGCCGTGTTCTCCAGCAGCCTGGCCACGTAGTACACGGCCAGGCGGCCCCAGTTCTGCGACTTGTCGATGAGGTCCCGGTCGGCCAGCTTGAGCTGCACGGCCGACCAGCAGAACATGTTGATGCCAGCGTAGAGCAGGGTGAAGGCGCAGAGCACCACCACGGTGCCCACGCGGCTGAAGTTCTTCTCAATGTTGTCAGGCAGCCGCGTGCCGCTGCGCCAGAACTGCACCCAGGGCAGGAAGAAGACCACGAGCAGGTTGGCCAGGGCGATGAGGATGATCCAGTGCTTGAAGACGGTGCCAAAGAGCACGAGGACGGCCACGCGGGTGGAGATCTCCAGGCTGCGCCACAGCACGATGCAGAGAAAGGCCAGCGGCCGCAGCTGCACTTTGTAGTCATCGTACTTGATCTGAATGGCCAGGACGTTGCAGATGAGCGCCCCGTAGGTGACCGACACCAGGCAGATGCCCATGAGGACGGCTGCAGAGGGAGGGAGTGCACGGAGTCAGGTCTGGCCCAAGACCCACTGCTGAGGATGAGCAGGGCACCCACCCGTGGCCAAGCGCTGTCCCCTCAGCCCATGTCCCATGTTTCGGCAGTGATATGAGATGCCCATGAGTACTTAGAGAGCCACCACAGTCCTAGGGGCTGTGAAGCAAAGTTTATTTCTGGGAAATTTGACTGTAGGGGCTGCAAAGCAAAGTTTATTTCTGGGAGATTTGAGTTCTCACTTGTGTTTAGCCAAGGGGAGGGTTTCAAAGGCCTCTCGTGGGCATTTGCATCCATGTCCGCCTCCTATCCCTGGAGGGAACAGGGCCAGGCAGCGTAGGACAACAGCCCATGGTGCTAAGCTGTTATGGGAGCTGGGAAAGGATTCTAGGAACAAGGACACCTTCCCAGGATCTCCAGTCTCATCCGAGCCTGTCCCACCCCAGGGCTTGCAAGGAGACCTTGGAGGAACTTGTGCTTGTGCTGGGCAGTGTCCTTGCCAGGGAATTTAGGGAATGCTGGAAATGGAGTCTCTAGGGCCCTTCATGCGTCTGTAGGACTTTCACCCACTGTGCAGTGTCCTTGATTACAGGGCACGGGGGACTGTGCCAGGAGCAGAGGGTGCCCAGCGCAGCCTCTTGCATGTATGAACCCTCGTTTTCTGCTGCACGGGAGCGAGGCTCAGCAAGGACTGGCCCCTCCTCAGGAACTGAAGCCAAAGAGCCTGAGGAGCATGGCTGCATGTGAGGGCTGTTTGCACAGCGCGGCCACAGCCACCACTTCACTCGGCCACACCAAGCACCCCCGAAGTGACCGCAGCGAGTGGGGCTGTGGCGAGGTGAGGGGGCCGGCGGCTTCCCTGTGCCGCGGCTGGCGCAGGGACGAGGGAGCTCCCGCGGTCAGCAAGGTGCGCGTGTAGCTCTGCTGCAGGGATCTGTGAGGGGAGGTCCAAGTCCTTAGGTAGCCCAAAAAGTGAATGAGACCTGCATGCCGCCTCGCTTACCTCGGGCCGGGGGCACGTGCTTCTCCAGGACGCTGATGTAGAGCTGCAGCGTGAGCTGCGGCGTGGAGCCCAGGAAGGCCTGGATGACGGCCATGCGCTTGAAGGCATTGCGGTGCGTGGCCAGCCGGCGCGCCGAGTGGCCCACCTCCTGCTCCAGCTCCACCTCATAGCCCTTCCGCAGGCGCCGCTTGCGCGTGATGGTCACGTAGGGCTCCTCCTCCTTTCCCGACCGGCAGAAGACCACCAGGGCTTCCAGGCACCTGCGGGGACGCAGCAGCCCTCAGCCAGGCAGCTTCCCCACCACCCAGGCCATTCCCGGCCCCGGGACTGCAGGACATGCAGGGGAGAAGTGTGTGGTGGGGAGACAGGAAGGAGCTGGCAGTGAGAAAGGCACAGCTTGGACACTGCAACCCCCAGCACTGCATTGGGGACACAGCTAGAGGGAAGGGCTCCATCACCCTCTGTCTCAGTCCTGCTGCCGGTTCTGCACCCCACGGGCACCAAATGATTCTGTCCCAAAGGAAGGGCGGGAGAATTCACCTATATTTTATTGAATCCCTTCTGTTGAGCAAGAGGCTCCTCCGCAAGGGGCCGCGGGGAGGGCAGAGCCGGGGGACGGCTGGGATCTGGTGCAGTCGGTTGCCGTGGGCCTTGCCGAGGTCCATCCCAAGAGCCCATGCCGCTCAGCGCTTCCTCTGTGCGGCTCTCCCGAGCGGCCTCCCCAGGCTCTGTGGCCTCTTCTGTGCCCATCTCAGAGGCCATCAGCAGAAGGGAGCTCATCTTTGCGGGTTGGCTTCTGCTCAGAAATTAGTTGGCTCCAGGACCAACAGCAGATAATTATTTACGAGCAGCCACCAGGGCAGCAGAAGCTGCTCTGTCTCGGACCCAAATGGAATGAGCTTCTTGGATGAATCCTCTCCCCAGACCCGCCAGCGCTTGCGCTTTACTGCAAGCCCTAACAGCAAAACAGAATCATCCTGGAGGGACGGTCTGAAGGACAACGAGGGCTGCATGGCGCTGCCTTGCCAAAACTTCTCGCTTAGCCCGGGCTCCGCTTGCAGCCCGCCTGGACCAGCTCCGGCGCCGCTCGGTGTGTCCGTGCCTCCTTGCGTGCTGCCCGCGGCGGCAGCCGGCGGGACGGCGGCTCGGCGGGGCCCGCAGAGGAGACGCGGGCCCGTCAGGCCCGCTGCGTTTCCGGCGCAGGAGGAAGCGCGGTGGCGGCCATGGCATTTCCCCATCTCTGTGGGCACGGCGCTCCTGGGGCGCCCGAGACACCGGCGCTGCCAGGCTCTGCCTCGCTGCCATGGGGATGGACCCCATGGGGATGGACCCCGTGGGAATGCTCGTGCTGCCCATCTGTGACCGCGCTGGTCCCCAGAGCCCTCTCGGGGCCCCTGTATCTGCTCTGAGAGGAGCCGCCTGAGCTAAGGAGGCCGCAGGAGCCCTGGGGCTCCCAGGGAGGCACCTCAGCATTCCCAAGGAGTGAGAGCAGCACCTCCCGCCTTGTGCAACATCCACCCTCTTGGCCTCCTCTCCTGCCTGGCTCCCTGGATCTTCTCTATGTCCCATAACCTGCCCCTGAGCTGGTGGCAGGACCCCAGCTCACGTCCACCCTCCTGCCTCCGCAACAGAGATCTGCATCTGAGCTGGCAGCTTTTACTTCCCTCCTAAACGAGAGGATGACCAAAGCCAAAGAGAGAGGGAAGCGCCCAGTGCCAGCAGCAGCTACGTGAAGAGCCTCACGAGCAGCTGGGCTGCAACAGGCTGGGGCAGCTGCGTCCTGTGGTCCCGAGGGTGTGAGCGCAGCGGGGAGGGGGACAGGGAAGGTGAGGGGCTGCTGTTTCCCCCTGGCAGGGCCTTTCTGAGGGAAGGAGACCAGGAGGAGAGCTCTGAGGGACGGGGCCAGAAGGGGAG